ATAAACATAATGTGGTATGTCCATACACAATAGATATTCAACAGTCAAAAGGAATGAACTACTGATGCATGCTACAAGATGATAAACCTTGAGATTATGCAAAGTTAAAGAAGCCAGTCACAGAAGACCACATACTGTATGTTTCCAACTATAAGAAATGTCCAGAAAAGGCAAATCTATCAAGTCAGAAAGTAGATTAGTGGTTACCTAGGGCTGAGGGATGCGGGAAGTTGGGGAGTGACTACTAACAGGTATGGGTTTCTTTTCGAGGTGATGAAAATATTCTAAAATCAACAGCTGAATAACTGTGTGAACACTAAAAACCATCTAACTGTATGGATTAATGATTGTACATTGAGCATTGACCCCCCTATACTGAATTTTATTGTTGTTAACAACCATTTGATCAATAAATATGAGAGATGCCCTCTCAAAACAAAACAAAACAAAACAAAAAACCATCTAACTGTAAACCTGACTGGGTGAATTGTGATCTCCACAAAGCTGTTACATTAACAAAGAAAAAAAAACCTGAGCACACGACCCCCTTTGTGAGCAGAGAAGAGGGAGGCATCTATCTTCCCCACTGTAGAAACACAAAACAATAACAGAGAACCTAAGGACCTTCCTGTGATTCTAACTTCTCAATAAAAATAAATTAAAATAACAAAACTCCGTTAGAAAACTGACAACGGAGTGTTAGGCTAAGAGAGGTCAGTGTTTATTTGGAAGATTTACCACAGAAGCCAAACTTCATCTTAACTGACACAGATATTGAAGGTTTAAGTGTTCTGTCCTTATTTGTCAGCTTTTAATTTTATGGTTCAACCTATACACATACCCTCTCACTAGGAGTATGTGTGTATATATGTAAGTATATGTGGAACAAATGTTTTATGAAACTGAATTTATGGCACTATGTTTTGGTTTGAGACTGTGTTTTTACCATGCACTGGTGAATCTTCATCAGCAAACAGATGTGGTTCTATTTCTTTCAAGGAACTTCTACCTTCAAGTCGGGCAAGGAGCTTGTGCAAGGGAAAAAGAGAGAAGGAAACTCATTACTAAAAATAAAAATCCTGGAAATCTGTATTTATACAATTATCCAAAAATCCATAAAAGAGAGTTCATAACTTTGTAGATTTGGAGGAAAGTATGATACAGGAAATAAAATTTAGGAGAAAAATTGTGTTCATTTATTCATAAAATATTTCACTTTTTGTTTATGTATCACTGGTGGTTTGAAATTAATCCCTGCCACAAAGGAGCAGATAGCAGTTTGATGCACAGGACCAAACTGCTACTTGCAAAGTATTTACCTTCCTTATGGGTTATAATGACCTTTTCCACTATTCTTACCATACTTGTTATACAGGTATCAGCTTTTCATTTGTCATATTGACAGCTCCTTATCTCGTGGGGGTGAGGGACAAAGGAGAAAGGCCGAGGAACTTCCACCTGTACTGTTAGGTCAGTGAGGCACAGAGAGGTGGGCATAGCAGCAGACAGGACATCAGCCAAGGTGCAAAGTTTATAAACAGCACTGTGTATAGGTGAACTATCAGCAGGTTTGAATTGCTAGAGCTTGGAGCCTGAAAGATATAGGAGAGAATGAAGTCCCCAAAGAGAAGTCAGAACGCAGAAGGTCTTGGATGCCCTGCTTAGAAGCCTTCTCTTTGGCCTGTAGCTGAGAGCAAGGGGTTTTAAGCTACAGTGAGAAGCAAGCTAGAATAGTGAAGAGCGGACGGCTGGAATTCCAGAACCAGACCTACAACATCACTTCTCTGGGCCTGAAGTCACTCTCCAGTCAAGTGGGGGTAACAAACAGCCTCTCCACCACAGGCTGTTGAGGGCTCAGGGTGTTAAGAGCACGTGTGCACAGATAAGCACCACTGGGTATGAGCTATCACTTGCTCATGTCAAAGAGATCAGCCTGGTGGCTAGTAAAGGACGGATGGGACGTAACACCTGATATGGAGAAAGCTAGAGTTTGCAGCCCCGATCTGAAGGAGTGCCGGCACCAAGGCAGTGGCAGGCAGGCTGATAGCAAGCAGGATTCTGCGACTGATGTAAGTGCCAATGAGGGAAATGTAATCACAGCTGCTTCTCAAGTTTCTAGGAATCAGCACAGATCTGACAACTCATATACACCAAAAGAAAAAATAAAGTACATCACAAAAGGGAAGAACATCAGTCACCCTTCATGTTTCCTTTAATCCAAGCAGAAGTTTTGAAAAGACATTGTTGAATGATGGAAAGGCCCTATACATAACTTTAGCAAGTATCTATCGAGTTTCTATTATACACAAAGCACTGTAACAGCTAAAATGGAGACTATAAGGTGAAGAAGACAACCTACCCTCAGGGAACCAAGGAACTTACAGTCCAGGTTCTCTAAGAGATGGGCTTTTATAACAAGAGAGTACTAACTTTGTGCTTTGACTCAGTGCAGAGATTCTGAGGGCATATCCGAGGTCAAAGCTATTTTCCTAATATTAAGACATGACTCATCTGTCTCACTAAGTAGACTCCTGCACTGATGATGCAGCAAAGACGAGTGGTGACACTGCTGGCCCCAGCACAATCAAGGCAGCAGCATCGCACTGTGTTAGCGCACTATTTAAGCAGTATTAATTTCTAGCAGAATTTTTAAGGACTAAGTTTTAAACTTATGACACCCCCCTAATTATTAATTTCACTAAAGGCATACGAAGATTCTATTAGGAAGTTGTATCATACTGTGCTTCGAATTGTCATTTAGACAGAAAAATCAACTAGATGCAAGATCCCAGAGAGGCAGCCAAACACATAATCAAATGCAGAAGCTCAATGTCAGTGGGATGCTTACTCGCCACCTTGTCTGTGAGGAACTCCACTGGAGAAGTGGGGGTGCTCTCCTACCTTCTTGGTCTGTCTCCCCAGGAAGGAGAGATTTTTCTCGTGGGCTATTTGAAGAGCAGGATCCGCTCTCTCCCAACAGCTTGCCTACAGGAAGTACAGACATGCTCCCAGATTTCAGTATAGTAGGAGAAGCCCTCAGAAATGACCGTAAAGTTTGCTGATAACCTTGGGAAGAGCAATTTTAGTGGAACAGTGGGATAGAAGCCTACTTACAGTGGGTTAAAGAGTAAGCAGGGGAGATAAGGAAGAGCAGACACAGAGCACCATCAGCTCTGCTGTGCCGAGGGTAAGGCTCTGGGGCTGGGCAGTTGTCATCAAGGGAGGGTTTCCGTTTGTCTCGTTTTACCACTTTATATTAGAATAGTGATAAAAATGACCAGTAGAAGATTAAACACAGAAGACAGAAAAAAATGACCACAGGAGTGGGAGTACCTGCAGGAGTGACGTCCCTTAGGAGGAACAGGATGGATGGAATCCACCAGTGAAGAAGTTGCCCTTTCTTAGAAGCAAAAATATTTATTTTATTTTACAGAAGGGAAATGCAGAGAAAAACAGTGCATATATTTGTATCAATATAGATGATGAAAAAAGCAGGACTGCTGTATTATATCCAATACGGTAGATTTCAGGGCAAAGAAGATGCCAAGGCAAAGAGAGGCATCGCAGAATGATTAAAAGGATCCGTCTACCGGGAAGCCATATGACCCCATGTGTCTGTATCAACAAGAGCCTCGAAATGCATGAAGCAAAACTAATACAGCTGAGAGGAGAAACAGAAAAATCTTAAATTATAGATGGGACTTCACATCCACCTCTGAGCAACTGACAGACTATACGACTGAAAACCTTCAAGGAGACAGAAGATCTGAGCAACATAACCAATAAGACTGAATTCACATATATAGAACATTCCACCCAACAACAGCAGAATATACACTTTTTTCAAGTTTCCATAGAACATTCATCAATACAGATCACATCCTGGGCCATAGAACATACCTCAACATATTTAAAAGAAATGACATCATGCAGAGTGTATACTCTGACTATAAGGGAAACAAACCAGAAATCGGTCACAGAAAGACACCAGGAAAAAATAAGGAAGTTCCTGTGAAATTTTCTGTTTTCACAATAACACGAGGCAAACTAAAAGAAAAGAAGACAGAAAGGTACGTTATGTATCCATTAAACAATTACTGAGCACTTTCTGTGGGCTAGATACTGTTCTAAACACTCAGACTAAAGGCACAAACCCAACGGACAACAAAGTCCGCTCACAGACCCTTAACGACGGGGGTGGGAGGCAGGCAGGAAGACAACATACAAACGATACAAAATGCCAGGTGTGTAAGCGTTAAGAAGAATGACCAAGGTAAAGGAATAACGATCAACAGTAGGAAGGGCTGCCTAATGCTCGATGATCTGGAAAAGCTTCTCCTCCAAACTGACATGTGAGCAGAAACCTAAATCAAGTGAGAAGCGAGCGATGTGAATGTCTGAGGGAGCGGCAATCCCTGCAGCGAGTAACGGGAAGCGCAAAGGCTCTGAGGCTGAAGCGTACCTGGCGCATTCAAGGAACAGCAAGGACGATGTTGTGTCTGAAGAAGACTAAGTGTGGGCGAGTGGCAGATGAGACAGAAAGGCAGGAGATGAAATCAGAAGTCGCGGGTGGGCCGAGGGCAAATCTTGCACGACTGCAGAAACTAAGGATTCTGGATTTTACTACAAATGATTCAGGAGCCTCTGGAAAGCTTGCAGCAGTAGTGTGCTTGTTTTGAGTGCATCACCCTGGATACTACGCGGAAAACAGTATCCACATACTATAATACTAGGGAAAGTAAGTGTGGGAAGGGTGAAAGCAGAGACCAGTTAGGAGGTTACTGCAACCAAGTAAGGGATGCTGGCCAGGAACAAGAATGGCTATTGCAAAGGCAGTGAAAAGTGGTCAAAGTCATGACATATGGTGATGGTACAGCAGGCAGAATTTGTAAATGAATCGAGCATAGGTTGATATGAGATAGGACAGAAAAAGAGAATTCAAAACGACTCCAAGGTTTTTGGCTTGAGCAACAGCAAGAAAAAGTTGCCATTTAACAATTTAAGGAAAACTTGGGAGGAAGCAAATCAAGGTGGTGGGTACCTGTGTGGTAGTAAATGAAGATTTCAGTTTGGGGCATATTGAAGTTTTTCCCAATCTTTTAATTTTGAAAATTTTCAAACCTACAGAAAAACTTTTAGTACAGTGAACATCCATATACATTTATCTAGATTCCTCTACTGCTAACATTTTGCCAAAGTTTTCTTTTGCTGAACCACTTCCTCACAAATATTTAATATATGTCTCCTAAGAAAAAGATTTCCTCCCACATAAGCAGACCACAATTATCACATTCACACATTTAACACTGATACGCACAGTACTCTCTTTAATATACACACTCTGTATACATTTTCCCCAGATGAACGATGATCATGTTAAGTCTGTTGGGAGACCTATTAGACATGCAAGTGGTTATGTCAAGAAGGTAATAGAACATATGTGTCTGGAATTCAGGAGTAAGGCTGGATTTGATGACATGTTTTGTAATGAGGAAGTGAACTAATTACTAGGAAAATATAGTTGGACTGGGAGTCCATTTGAGGTTGATGGTTATAAATGTAAAATGAAATCGGTCAGCCTAGCTGTGATTTTCTCAGTAATGTTTAGTTGTGTGGGCAGAGGTACAGCAGAGGTGGACAGTTGGGTTAGCCATGGTTAAGAAAGTAAGTTGGGGGGATAAACAAGGAAGTTGACAGTATTTATAAAGGAGTAGTGGTAATGATGGAGCCTGGATTCTATTCTGGATAAGAAGGGAACCACAGACAGAAGGGGATTAAGTGTCCTACAAGTCTGTGATTACACAAAACCAAAATGTTACTATTTAATAAATATTTAATATTTGCCTCTGTACCTTTTCTAAGAAAACCTGTCATTATTATCAATAACTATCACCTGTACACTATGCAGAGACTACTGCATGGTTATTGAAAGCTTACAAAGAAATATGAGAACCCACCTCCTAGAGGTAAAGTTGAAAGGGAACTAAGAAATCAGTCTACCACCCTCCTTTGATAAAAACAGGAGCCAAGGTTTAATAACATCCCAAATCACAAAGCTTGTTCTGGCAGAGACAAGACTAGAACTAGAACCAAGGTCTTTGAACTTCTAGTCCAGCATTTTCTATCGCAGCCTCCAAAACTGTGACATTAGAAGATTTCTGACAGAAGAGACAAAAAAAATTCACCCTGGAAAATGGTAATAAGGGATGGAAGTTTCCTACTTTTCACTTTAGTACTATTGGAATTTGCTATCATGTGCATTTTACTACCTTAATAAATACAATAGGACTAGTTAAAGAAAAAAAGGCAAACGGTATGTTGTGCATAGCAACCAAAACTAGACAGACACTTCCAATTTATTACTCATCAACTATTTTAAACCCAAGGCATTAACATTTGAGAAAATATGAAGTACACCACTATTTAACAACCAGGTGCAAATGCCATTTGGATACCAAAATACTGCCAAAATTACTGTGAATCTTTGCTAAAAGGGAGATAAAAGTAAAAATGCCATTGCTACTTGGCCAACAGGCACGTGAAAAAATGCTCCACATTGATAATCATCAGGAAATGTAAATTAAAACCACAATGAGACATCACCTCACACCAGTTAGGAAGGCCAACATCCAAAAGACAGACAACAACAAATGTTGGTGAGGATGCGGAGAAAGGGGAACCCTCCTGCACTGCTGGTGGGAATGTAAACTAGTTCAACCATTGTGGAAAGCAGTATGGAGGTTCCTCAAAAAAACTCAAAATAGAAATGCCATTTGACCCAGGAATTCCACTTCTACGAATTTACCTTAAGAAAACATGATCCCTGATTCAAAAAGACATATGCACCCCTATGTTTACTGCAGCACTATGTACAACAGCTAAGATATGTATGCAACCTAAGTGTCCATCAGTAGAGGAATGGATAAAGAAGATGTGGTATATACACAAAATATTATTCAGCCTAAGAAAACAAATCCTACCATTTGCAACAACATGGATGGAGCTAGAGGGTATTATGCTCGGTGAAATAAACCAGGAGGAGAAAGACAAGTACCAAATGATTTCACTCATTTATGGAGTATAACAAAGCAAAACTGAAGGAACAAAACAGCAGCACAGACTCCAAGAAGGGACTAGTGGTTACCAAAGGGAAGGGGCTGGGGAGGGTGCGAGGTGGGGGAGGAAAAAGGGAATTAAGTGGCACTATAATTAGCAATCACAATGTAGGCAGGTCACGGGGAAGGCTGTACAGCATGGAAATGACAAGTAATGACTCTATAGCATCTCACTATGCTGATAGACAGTGACTGCAATGGAGCTGGGGGGAGGTACCTGATGATATGGGTGAATGTTGAAACCACTGTGTTGTTCATGTGAAACCCTCGTAAGATTGTACATCAGAGATACCTTAATTTTAATAAAATGCCATTGCTACTTTGTAAAGGCAAGGTAAAAAAACGGGTTATTCTATTGTAAATTGTGTTCAAATGTTTGTCTTTTTAAAATTGAGGGCTCATTTTGTTTTCCACTAGCTATCTGGCCTACCAGAACTGCATCCCTAAAATCTTTCAAAAGAGTATTTTTTGCATCTTTGTTTTTTCTTGCAAGACTCTGTATGAAATGTCTTTTCTCTACTCTTCACAAGATGTGGGAATGGTTAGCTATTTTATAAAATGGTAATTGTCATGACTCAAAATTTTAAAGAAGCTTATTTCAGTTTATAGAAATAGCTTTGACTTCAGCTATCTTCCTCATTACAACACCTCTAAGCAGGATCCATGAAGTAGACTCATGTGCGTAGGAAGAAAACTGTGTCCAAACAAATTAAGCACTGACCACAGTGCCCAAAAACACTTAAAGAAGCTTGCTTCATTGGTTCTGTTAACAAAAAGAAAAACAAGGGCACCTGCTGTTCAGCTCCCTATTCTTCTCTCCCTACCCCACTGCACTGTAAACTGAGTGAGGCTCCCCCACCCCACTGTACTCCAAAGTAGTATGAGCGAG